CCCCGATTGTTCCACTACATCCCCTCCCTCTTTGCAAGTTCCTGGGGGAGGGGATGACAGAGGGTTGCAAGTAGATTTTTCTACAGTAAAATACCAGCTGCCTGAGCTCCTGGGCCTTTTTCTTCCCTTTTGTGTTCTGATTATTGCCTGCCTTTTAGGAGACATTCTAGCTCAAGTCGGGTCCATCTACTTGGGCCCGGTCAGTTAGGCCTGGGCTAAGTAGGAGGCCCATAAGGATGGGGCCTAGGCAGAATTTGAATAGGCCTCTTTTGTAATTCTGTAATTTTTTCTTGATCAGATAACACATTATAGTTGCATCTCCTCTTCTTTGCGCCATCACCGCCGCATATTCTCTGCGACAGGGTTGCTATGACCGAACTCTTCATGTGTCACCTTTTGGTCAGTTTGCTTGTGATCCTGGTGTTCGTTTCTCTGCTTTCTTTCATCGTTTTCTTCCTGTTGAGAGAAATGGCATTTGTTGTCTTTCACTTCATCCATCAATGGCTCTCCCCTTGCACCCTTCCGTGAAGTGGACAGAGGTATGCCAGGACCCCTTGTAGCTGAACAATTATGCTAGGAAGCCAGGACCACGTGTAGGTGAACAAGGTATTATGCTAGGACTCCTTTTTGTATGAACAAGTATATGATAGCGAGAATATGTTTATTAATGAATTTTTCAAAAGAGCACTGAACCGTGGTTGCACAAATACCCGAGGCTATCACTGGACGATGACCAAGTAGGTTGTCCTGTCGCAAGAAGTGGTCATTTGCGTATGTCCAGCGTTACCCGCGAAGATTCTTTTCTCCACCACGTTACTCATTCTTACCGCTAATAATTTCCTGAATGATGGCATTGTTTTTATTGAGGAATTTTGCCAAAAAAATCTCAAATTTTTAAGTAAAATAATTTTTTGTACTAAAATTTGTTCTGCAACAGAGCGCATCTGTGTCAGGGGTAGAGGTTCTTGCATAGCTGCGCAGGCGTTTCAGAGCATTCTAATAACACCATTAACATAGGTTATCCACATTGATTGCTCCTCGCAATTTTGGTATTTTTAGTGATTATTATTCATTTGATTAAGCTCATTTCCCCCTGAAAATCTTTAATTTCACATACCAAGTTTATGAAGTTTAAGCAGAAATATGCTCTGTTCAAAGAGCAGATATCAGCTTGACACGTATCAGTTTACGTGACAACGCATTTTCGACGTGTCAGCTTTGTGAATCACGTGATTGACACGTTTGCTCAATATTTACTTGAATACTTGAGTAGCTGTATATCATCGACGTCTGTTGTCACGCCATCGATGCAGCGCTGGCAACTTCTCAATTCGATTAGTTGTTGCGCTCTCCGAGTCCACGTAATACCGTACAGGCGTACCATGGAGTCTCTCCACCTCACTGGTGACCTTTCCAGTGTTCGCTTAACTGTGCGCGAATGCCACTCTATTATCCGCTTCGTCCATCTGTTATCTGATATCCCTGCCACATGACCAGCGCATCTCCTCATTCTGGCATATATTGCTTCGACAATGTTTTTCACGTCAGATCTGGCTCGTAGCACCTCAGTTGGAATGTGTTGTAGCCTGTTGGCGCCAGTCATTCGCCGCTTCATTGCTCTTTGAGAGACAACCAATTTCCGTTTTTCATCAAGCGTGGTGTTCTATGTCTCACATCCATATAAAGTGGCTGGCAGGGTGGTCGAATTGTAAACTGCTGCTTTTGCAGATGGAGAAGTAATATTCTTTTCGTAGAATATTTCGCGGGACCTAGTGAAATATATAATATTAAATGCTAAGTTATTTGTTAGGTTTAAACAGTATTTAAAA